CATGCCAAGGCTGTGAGACAAATCTGTTTACAAACGGTTTGTTCTCTCAGAAACTTTCATTAATCTTTTTAATGTACATCTTGCAGGCAAGAATGATGGTGATGAAAGTCTTGTTCTTTACAGATTTGTATTGTGGATAATTGTGATAGACCTGATTGGGCAGGAAAGGGGAAAACCAAAACAAAAACGAGGGTGTTGAAGATGCCAAATGTAAATGTAGATATTGTTGTTATGTGTTTTCAAGTTGACTCTGACCTAGGGCCACCCTATCATTGAGTTTTCTTCAGACGAGGTTTGACATTGCCCTCTGCTAAAGCTTAAAGAGAGAGCCAGCATGGTATAGTTATTTGAGCCATAGAAACTCACTGTCGCATCCCAGGTCTGATGCCACCTATGACCATAGCATCACACAAGAGTCCAGGGTAGAAGCAAACAGTTTATTGCACAAACACACAAAAGATATATAGTAAAAAAGTAGGGATAATGAACAAGGTATAGAATCCAAAAAGTCAGTAATAAATTGTCTCTTACAAATCCAAAAGCAATACAGTCCAAAGATAGTCCCAAAATACAAACGCAGTGTAAGTCCATAAGCAAAACTTGAACAAGGATACAAAACAAGAACATGGAGAACTCCCAGAATGCTTAAATCCAAAACCAAGACTTGAAACAAGAACTAGAGAACCCAGGCCTAGCTGTACTTGAAAGCCATGTTGCCTGAACTGAAATCAGAATGTCCGTTAGCTCCTAATATACAGACATGAAAGCATTATATCTGCCCTGGAATTTCTGCTTCCCATGAAGCCGTGTTGACCTACGAAGCTGGCTATCTGCTGTAATCTGCAAGTGTGCTTCCTTGCTTAGGTCAGTATCACTAGGTGCTTTCCCATGAGAGTTTCTCATCAATTCGTCTTCACTAGACTTCTTATCTAGAGAGGATGATTCCAACTCCTGTGGCTGGCTTTGAGGTTCAGAGGCAATTACATTCTCAGGCCTTGCATCCATGCATGCTTGAGGATCAGAGGCAATTACATTCTCAGGCCCTGCATCTGAATGAATCCCAGGAAAGCCCACAATCACATCTGACTCTTAATAATAATAATAATAATAATAATAATAATAATAATAATAATAATAACAATAATAAACCTTTATTTGTACCCCGCTACCATCTCCTGAAGGACTCGGTGCGGCTTACAAGAGGCCGAGCCCAAATACAATAGTAAGAACAATAACAACAACAGCAAAACAACTAAAAAAAACCAAAGCAATGACATTAACAACACACAATGACGCAATTAAAATCAATGGCAGGGCCAAATGTAATAATTATAGTTAAAAAGTGCTGGACATGACAAGGTGGAGTGTTTGGAGGGGGATGAGCATGCAGATATCCTAGATCTCTGATAAAGTGCATTGGGACATAATGCTAGGAGTTTCCTTATTCTGGGAAGGCACAGTGGAACAACCACGTTTTCAAGCTCCTCCTAAAGATTGCTAGCAATGGGGCCTGCCTGATGTCCTTAGGGAGAGAGTTCCAGAGTCGAGGGGTCACCACCAAGAAAGCCCTATCCCTCGTCCCCACCAATCGCGCTTGCGATGTAGGTGGGATCGTGAGCAGGGCCTCTCCAGATGAACGAAGAGATCGTGTGGGTTCATACACAGAGATGTGGTCACGCAGGTAGGTGGGTCCCAAACCGTTTAGGGCTTTGTAGGTAAGCACCTGCACCTTGAATTGGGACCGGAAAATGAATGGCAACCAGTGGAGCTCCTTAAACAGGAGGGTTGACCTCTCCCTGTAAAGAGCAGCAGTTAACAACCTGGCCGTCGCCCGTTGGATCAATTGAAATTTCTGGACCGTTTTCAAGGGCAGCCCCACGTAGAGCGCATTACAGTAGTCCAATCTGGAAGTGACTAAGGCATGGACCACCCTAGCCAGATCCGCCTTCACGAGGTACGGTTGCAGTTGGCGCACAAGTCTTAAGTCATCAGTGAACCCATCAGCCTCTTGCTGCTGTAACTGCTGCTGAGCTACAATACTCATTGGGTTGACCACAAACAGACAATGTTGCTCACTGTGTTTCAGCCTCAGAAAACTTGAGCCTCACTGTCTTTTTGATGATTGGGGGTGCTGTGGGTTGCTGTCCTGGCTATTGAGTTTGTGACCTGGGACTTTTCTTGTAGTTATGCTGTTGGGTTTCTGCTTGGTCGTACTGCTGCTGCTTAAAAGGTTGGTAATGAAAGCAGCATTGTCTCGTGGTAAAGGTGCTTACATATTGGAGTCATTATTATTTCAACTCTTTCCATTTTTGCAGTTCCCACAGGTACTGCTTAAATGGTTGTTTGTGCTTGGACATGATGTTTCCATTTTAAAGCCATCACTTTTAAATACCACTTAGATCAGTAGCAAGTTTTTTGCTTTTCTTCCTACAGTCATTTGGCCTGCAAACTGAATTTTGTTATCTGTAAGAAGCAAACTTTTATCATACAGACATCTTAACTACCAATGAATCTTACTACAAACTATTAGTCAACTGTACTTTTTTGCACTCTGTAGAAAGGCTATTTGAGCTGAAGTGGTACTTGTATTTTCTTACCTAGACACTATATCTTGAGCAAAACTCCTTTGATGCACACTGCATTTTTAAGCATCCCCACCTGTAGTCACATATATTGTAGAAGAAAAACAAAAGTGTGCTTTGAGAGTAAAAAAGAGATATCAGGAAGGAGAATTCCAGAGAGCTGGAAGGAAAACATAGTCACCACAAATGGTATAATCTATATGTTACACATGTTGAATCAGCTTCCAACCCTCAGGAACTCACAAAGATGTGATAGTGGCACACAATAGTAGTCCCTCCACATTTGTGAGTGATAGGGCAGAAAGTCCCTATGAAAGTGGAAAAATCATAAATATAAATATTATTTGTTTTAACCTGAGAGAACACTTCTCTATACATTTTTTTGGTTCTCCAATTCTGTGGTCAGCCTCCACTAGAAATTGACCATAGAATTGAATTGGAAGACCCACAAATGCCCAGAAAGAATATGTGTGTGTGTGTATCTATATAAATAAAAATGTAATGTTCATTTGTGGGATGAACATAACTTAAAAACCACTGGACGAATTGACACCAAATTTGGACACTTCACCCCTCACAGACCAACGAGTGACCATCATTCATAAAAACACAGCAGAAGGGACTTAAAAAGCCAAAAAAGCAAAAGGATGCCTGAGTGCATGCACAAAAATGACTCCCCCGGCAAACGAAACACACAATAGCATATCCATCGCCCAGCACCCACTAGACCAGGCCCTTTAGGAGAGGATGATGATCCAAATGCACTGATTCCAACCTGCAAACTTTCGTCTCCTTGGATTTCTTTGAGAGCATCCCAATCCTTGCATATTTCCAATTTTCTATTCCTGGACTGCATCTCCCAGTTAAGATAGGTTAGAGGTAGGTAGGTAGGTAGGTAGGTAGGTAGGTAGGTAGATTGATCAGAAGGACTGCTGGGAGTTGCAGTCCAAGAATAGGTTGAGAAGGAAGAATGGGGAGAAAGAGGAAGGGAAAGAAAAGGAGGGGAGAAGGAAGGGAAGAGGAAGAGAAGGAAGGAAGGAAGGAAGGAAGGAAGGAAGGAGAGAATGAAAGAAGAAGGCGAAGGAAGTAAAGAGGAAAGGAAAGAAGGAAGGAAGGAGAGAAAGAAAGGAGGAGAGAAAGAGGGAGGGAAGGTTGGCCACAGCAACACATGACGGGTACAGCTAGTACATACATACATACAGAGAGAGGGAGAGAGAGTTGTGTTAGGAGTGTAGGAAAGCAGTGGAGGTGAACACGCCAAATAATCAAATCCATGAATGCTTAACTCACAAATGTGGATGACCAACTGTAGTCTTCCTGGCCTCTCTTTCTTGTTATATGGAACCATTGTGGGAGCACATCTTCCTGCATTTTCAGTAGCTTCACATATACCATCGCAATGATAGGGTCATTACATTAGATAGAAGCATTGGGGATTCTAGGTTGGGATGAAGCTTTCTGACTTCATAATTGATGTGTCCGTCAGTATCTTTGCTGTTTAGTCTAAAAAAGATATTCCCCAACCTGGTGTCCTCCAGATGTTTTAGATTACAACCATCCCAGTGAAGACATCAAACTTGGGAAGAGTGCACGCAAGTTCCAAGTGGCAGGGTTTACAACAGAAGCATCCTAAGCTTCTTGTCTGAGGCCATTGGCTTATGCAATATTTCTCTGCCTGCTTTGCTCATCAATTGATATTTCAAGGTGTTTGAGTTCCAGCCATACTGAAGCCTTGTTGATGCCTGTTTGTCAGCCCACAAGCATCTATATATATTGTGCTCTGGTGTGCCATGCCTCACACTTGCATTGCATCCCATATCCTTCAGGTGGAATGTGTATTCCAGATCTCGTCTCCATTATTTTAGTTTGGATGAACCGTGTCCTGGCGCTCTGTCTTGGTCTGGTCTCAGTTCTGCTCTGCCTTGAACCCTTGCTTTCATGTGCATGGCTGTTTACAGCCTAGCAGTTACGTGTGCTTTTTCAACCCTAGAATTAGAATGAAAACTGATCTCGCAAGATCTGAGGTTTTCCTTCTTGTCTTTTTCTGATAGCCTATGAGTTAAAAAGAGTGTACAGCTGTTCCCTTCTTCAAAGATAACAGAAACATTAGCTACCTTCATGTGGATTGTTGTAGGTTTTTTTGGGCTATATGGCCATGTTCTAGAGGCATTATCTCCTGATGTTTCACCTGCATCTATGGCAAGCATCCTCAGAGGTAGTGAGGTAATGGTTGTAATCACCTCACTACCTCTGAGGATGCTTGCCATAGATGCAGACGAAACGTCAAGAGAGAATGCCTCTAGAACATGGCCATATAGCCCGAAAAAACCTACAACAACCCAGTGATTCTGACCATGAAAGCCTTCGACAATACTTTCATGTTACTCCTCTTACTGTGCTCTTTGTTTTCCTTCCCAGGATGTTACGCTTTCGCCTTCTCCCTGCTGTGGCAGGTTGTATTGCCCTTTCTAGGAGACACTATGGAACAGCCCAGACTATTCATAGCCGGCGCAGGATGCTGATGGTGGCTCTTGTAGGAACTACAGCTGTGACAGCAAGCACTGGACTTCTTTGGAAAAGGTAGGAACTTGAAATTGGAAATACAGCTTACTTCAGTTCTTGAAGGGTAACGTCAAGATTGTGTTAACCATGAAACTAGGTTGCAAACACTGAGTGGTCTATTTTTAACTACGCTTCTTTTGCCAAGTTCCCGAGGCAAATGTTTTCGAGTGAAAACAGCCAACACAGATTGAGCATCCCTTATTTGGAATTCCCAAATCCAAAATATCAGAAAATCATCAATTGTAGAGGTATTTGCCATTCTTGTAGTTCCATTGGAAGTAAGTGTGTGAGAAGAAGAGACTCTAGTCCAGTGGTTCTCAACCTTCCTAATGCCACGATCCCTTAATACAGTTCCCCATGTTGTGGAGACCCCCAACCATAAATTTTTTTCTGTTTCTACTTCATAACTGTAATTTTGCTACTGTTAAGAATCGTATTGTAAATATCTGATATGCAGAATGTATTTTCATTTGCTGGACCAAATTTGGCACAAATACCCGACACACACATTTGAATACTGGTGTAGTTGGAGGGGGATCGGTTTTGTCATTTGGGAGTTGTAGTTGCTGGGATTTACAGTTCACCTATAACCAAAAAGCATTCTGAACTCCACCAACAATGGAACGGAACCAAATTTGGCACACAAAACTCCCATGAACAACAGAAACTATGGGAAGGGTTTGGTGGGCATTGACCTTGCGTTTTGGAGTTCTAATTCACCGACATCCAGAGAGCACTGTGGACTCAAACAATGATGGATCTGGACCAAACTTGGCACAAATACTCAATATGCCCAAATGTGAACACTGATGGAGTTTGGGGAAAATAGACATTCACATTTGGGAGTTGTAGTTGCTGGGATTTATAGTTCACTTATAATCAAAGAGCATTCTGAACCTCACCAATGATATAATTTGGCCAAACTTCCTACACTGAACCCCCATGACCAACAGAAAATACTGTGTTTTTTAATGGTCTTTGGTGACCCCTCTGACATCCCCTCGTGACCCTCCCAGGGGTCCTGACCTCCAGGTTGAAAAATGTTGCTCTAGTCTGTGGCTATGTTAAATAATAATAATAGGGTGTTGTGACTGACTTTTTTTTCCAAAATCTTTTCCACCATATTAGATGAACAGTGGTCATTTGAGTGGCATTTTGTGTTATAAGCACAGAAATATCTGCAATAGCTCAAACACTATAGTGCATGCACATATATCTCATTTTGATGTGACTAAAAATACATGTCCTGTGTATAGTTTGGCACAGATTATTAGACATATTTTTAGTTTTTATAGATTTACATAGGTACTTTCTATATGCAAAGCACCTATTTCCAAATGAAAGACCCAAAGCAATTTCAAAATACCACATGACAGCATGGGAAAATGTCTTTAAAACCACCCAGTATATGTAAGTACACAAACAGTCCCCAAGTTATGAAAATGATATGTTCTGTAGGTTTGTTCTTAATTTGTATTCTGTTGTAAGTTGCCCTTTTTTAAAGTGTAACTCCAACCAAATACAATACAGTGCAGTGCAATGCAGTGCAATACAATACAAGCTTTGGATAGCATAGGGAAGAGTTAACACTGCTGCTATGTTTATTTTGCTGTCTGTGCCCTGTTCAGAAGATTTTATCCATTTTCTGTCCCTGAGATAATAGGATTTTGAAAAAATTGGCTTGTTGTGGAAACAAGGATTGGTGATAAAGCTTCGGTAGAGACACCTTTCCCCCATGATAACTCTTTCAGGAGTGAATTTCCCTTCCAAGGCTAGATTTCTCTCACTTTCTGTTGTTTTACCCTGTTGTTAACTAAAAGTTGTTTGTAAATCAGATGTTTGTAACTTGGGGACTGTCTGTATTGAGATAGATCTCTTGGAGATGGGACCCAAATTTAAACACAGAACTCATTGACGGTTTGTATACCCCTTAAGCGCATAGCTTGGAGGTAATTTTATACATCATTTATCAATAATTCTGTGCATGAAACAAAAGCAAAAAAGGAGAAAGCAAAAGTGCCAGTATATCATCCACTCATGTGGACAATTCTGAGTTTTGGAGTATTTCAGATTTTGGCATTCTGGATAAGAGATGGTTTATCTTGACGAACTGGCTTTTATGCATTTTAGTCTATATGTATTTTAATTTATTGTTGATGTACGATGTTTTAGATTGTATTGTTAACATTGAATCCTTGCTGTTAGCCGGTCTGAGTTCCTCTACGGAGGTAGAGAAGACCAGGATACAAAAGTTTTAAATAAATAAATAAATAAATAAATAAATGACCTATATTCACTCTTTTCAGTTGAAAATGGATCCCTGGGTAACTTGACAATATAATAATATACTTATCAAAGTGATTAGCAGATGCAGGCATTTGGACCTCATCTATGTGGTATATCACTTGTACCTAAAATAACAAAATTGTATATCTGGCAGCAGAAATTATAATGATAATATAATTATAGTGAAAAGATGGCGATGGCAACAGAAGAATTTAGGCTGGATCTACAGTGCTCTATTATCCCAGGATTTAATTTCAGATTATCTGCTTTGAACTGCATTATATGACTCTCCACTGCTACATAATCTGGGATAAACAAATAAGCTGGATGTTCCAGCAAGAATTTGAGAATGACTAGTCCCTAACTATAAATTCCTAGTCCATAGGTCACCACATAGTACTCTGTTCTGCACTTCATCCACTTCCCCGGCCCTATAGTACGCTGTTTGCACTATCCATTGCCAGGCCCTTTTGTTGCTTGGTCATGCACATTTTAGCAATCCTGGTCATTGGTTTCTTTGAACCTTGTCTGAAGTCTCAATGTAATCTGTTTTTCTACTTTTCTGTTTAATATGTTTTTATATGGATTGTTGTATTTTATGGTGCTTTTATTTTAATGGTGTTTTTGTTTTAATTGATTGTGTTTTTTTTATGTCTTGTGGACACTCTGTCCCATATGCCAAAAACCTTGAGTCCTTCAGGGAGATGGTGATGGGGTATAAGTGTTAGAGATTCCTCATCTTCAGAAGAAGAAGGGGAGCAGGAAAATGTTCAGGAATCAGAAGGGGAAGTGGAATCAGACAATGAGTGCCCACATTCCTGGAAAGGCAAAAGGAAACAGAGCACAGAGGGCATTCAGCTAGAATAGCTGCTAGAAATGCTGAGGTAATTGGGAGCAGCCCTAGCACCTCCTGCGTGAGGAATTCAGGGCTGTAAATCAGAAGCAGGAGCAGTTAGCTTTCACTGGTAACAAAGGACCCTGGTGCTGATCTCTTCGCTCAAATTGTACCTGCTTCGAGTCTGCTTCTAAGGATTTAGTGATCATTGCCTGTTGTCTGATGTACGACTGCTGTTTCTTTTGGACTTTATCAGAGACTTGAGTTTTGTGTCTGCATTAAGACTTCCTTGCTTTCTGTTGCATTTTTCAACTGCATTTGCTGTTCCTTTGTGTTTGCTGAAGTAAAGCATTTTTCTTTTACTTTCAATGTTGTATTAAGGTTGTTCTTGAAGGGCAAATCAGGACAATAACAATAAAGTAGTAGTAGTAGTTCTTGTTATCTGAAATCAGATCCTGGGATATAGGGGCAGTGTAGATCCAGCCTTAGTTTGCCTTCAGTTTTCTCCTCACTTTCTTTCTGGTAGTCTTGTGACGACATAACTTGTATTTCATAAACCCTAATACAGTTCTTTTAACACAATTCTACTTTAGTCATGCAAGAACATTTTATTAAAAATACAGAAAAAGTGTATTGATCTAGCAACTGTAAGATTTGAATGAAACTTTTAGATAGCTCTCTATGAAATTCCAAACATTGCTTCTGAACAGGAATTCTTGCTATCTTTACTGCTTCTTGTGCAGTAAGTATGACCCAAATAGCAGTCTTTATGTTTTGGCTGCAAATGAAGAATTTCATACTTGAGCAGTCAATAAAAATGTCTCCTGACATTTCCTTGTGGTCCTCACTTGACAGCTGTTGAAACTGAAAAGGTATTTCCGGTTGGGATTTTTGGTCATGATATAACCTAAGTTTAGAGGCACACCCAAAGCAATGGAATTAAAAAAAAATCCGCAGGTATTTGTTCCCATGCCTGAAATGAAGCTCAAGCCCCAAACCTCTCAAGGTTATGCAAACATTCAGGGGGCTTTCTTCTAATTGCCCACAGTTGTTAATACAAAGTGAGGCTTTGTGTAAATATTCTGCCAAGAAAGTTCACCCACTGCAGAGATGATATAACACAACGCTTGTTTTCTCTCAATTAGTTAAGCAAATATACTTTCATTGGTATATGGAACCGTGCTGTGCTGCAAAGCTGCAGCCTCCTGAGAGGTGGGAGGATAGTGTTTTCTGTTTTTCCCCCCTGCTTTTTTCCAAAGCTTCTCATGCAGCGCAGAAGACCTGCTGCCTGTGATGATATGTGACACTAATGAGGAATGTGTGGCTCCCAAGATTCTGCTTAACCTTGAATAGTCTATTTCTAGATCTCGTGGCACTTCATCAAGAGTTCAATGAGAAGCCCCATTATAGGAATCCTCGTCAGCTACAGGGAACTTCTTCCTTTAGGCCTGAAGATGAATCAGATTTGTGGGGTTTTCTACTGCGATTTTCTTAGGGAAAATGCTTCTTTTAAGCACTGTTTGGTTTTTTGTTAATTGGTTTCCATGGAGTTAAAATGAATCAGAAAATGGGTTCACTGTAGGGCTTATCTCAAGATCAAAGGGACATTTTCCCATCTTAATATTTGTGATTCAAACCTGAAGCTGAAGGACAATGTAAGTGGCTGTGTTGTATTTTATGCTTACTATTTACTTAGGCAATCCCTCATTGCCGAGTCCAAGATTGGTGTACTGTTGGTGGGTCTGTAGGTGACTGTGAAGACCTGTTTTTGATCTGCATCTTCTCCCACAGTAAAGGGGATTGGTTTCCAGGTGGAAGGTGGTCCTGGTTGGGGTTGGCTTGATGCGCCTTCCTCTTGGCACTTTTCTCTCTTTCGCCCTCCATTCATGCCTCTTCA